ACCTTGATGTTTCAGGACCCCACTTTGGGTCCCGACCCCAACTTTGGGAAACACTATACTAGAGAATAAAGGCATGGAAAAACATAAGTACCAGGGAACAACAATACCTAGGTACATAGGTATCAGTGAACAGAGGTAACGAAGAGCATAGATACCATGGTGCCTAAATACAGGGAAACACCGGTACCAGAGAAAAGAAGTACTGAAGAACATAGATATCAGGGAACCTAAGTACAGGAGAATAAAAATACCTAGGAACATAGGAACCAGGGAACAGAGGTATTGAGAAACACAAGTAAAGAGGAACACAGGTACCAGCTAGCATAATTACTGGGGAACATAGGTACTGGAGAGCAGTATTACCAGGAATAGGTAGGGTACAGAGGTACTGGAGAACATAGATACCAGGGAACCTAAGTACAAGGGAGCAAAGATACCTAGGAAGGTAGGTACCAGAGAGCAGAGGTACTGGAGAACAAAGGATCCAGAGGGGGTGGCTTTAGTCTTCCAGCTCCTTGTCTCTTTAGGAGCAGGTGAAAGCAACAGGTGACAGGTCATCGTATGCCAAAGCCTTCTGCCACTTCAGCAGATTAGCTGTTTTCTAAGTCTTAGTAGAAAGCGCACCTGAAGGAATTAGAGCCTCCGAGAAAAGCATCTCAGCTCACTCCTCGACATATGGGTGAAGGCTTTGTCCCGTGATCCACCTATATTAGTGCAAAAACCGGAGCGGGGGGAGACTTCCAGGGATGCAAATACTGCAAATGCACCACGTTCAACGTATTTTTGTCCACATTTATTCATCATAAATCCCTGCAGAAAATTGCTGCTCATCCCATTAGAGGCTTCAGACAAACACCAAGCAGATTGAACAAATCGTTGCGGACCTTTGCTCTCACTGTATAATAACGAGACAAAACCTCAAGCTGCAATTTGTGCTCCGTCTCTCGGGGTACCGATAAACACCAGGCTTACGCAGACTTATGTCAAATGACATCTTTAATTTAGTCTTGTGACATGACAACAATCCTACGGAAGAGGCTTCACATAGGGCTGAGATATAAAGTCAATTTATTGTAGTATTACTGGGAAAATAAGAACATTTTATTGTCTTTATTTTAAAGAATCTAAAATGAAACACTACAGAACATAGTGTGCATTGCAATAAATAAAAATGTTCAAAAAAAATATTAGAGAACAAAATTGTTTAGGAACCAAAAAGGCCCAAGACATCCCAGGAGGGCGAAGGATCACACAAATCACTCAAATAATCTCAGAGCAAATATTAAATGTCGTCTTTTCCCTTGATTTAGTCTCATGACAGGAATTCAATCAGGATGAATCGAATCAAAGTCTGCCAAGTGTGTTTTTGCTGGGAAAAATATGCAATTTGTTTTCCAGAAAATACACAGAAATCCCTAAAGATGATCTTTGACCAACGATGTTCTCAGAGACCAGATAAATGCTTTTATTTCTGGAAAAACTCAGAACGGTTTGCAAAACGTCTGCATTTATTAACAAGTTAAAGTGTCTTATTGCTGTGCAATGTGTGATAATACTGTTTTATTCCTTTTCTTGAAATGAAACTCAGAAAATAATCACTGGATGTATTTTATTTACAATTATTGGCCTAAAACCCTCTGTGGTTGTAGTTGACAGTGATTCCCAACAAATAGTCCAAGCATCGTGACAGACCAAAAAAAAGTTCTCTTCTCTCTGAGTCAACAGTCTTTTTCCATCCATGAAATTAAGTTTGTTCATCCTACAGAGAAACATTTTATTCCTCCAATACACGTTCAGTACAAATGTGAAGAGCCGAATCTTCGTTTCCACTGTTTGAATAAAAAAGAAAAATCAAGCTCAGCTTCTGCATCCAGACCTGATTCCTTCTTGAAGCTCCGCCTCTGGTCCAGGGCGCCGTTTAACCATTTCCTGTTCGAGTTTCTCCCTCAGTTTGGGAAAGCCGGGTCTCCTGCGAGGCTCCTGTTCCCAGCAGAGCCTCATGAGGGAGTAAATATCAGCAGGACATTCCTCTGGAGCCTCCATTCGATAGCCTCCCTCCACCTTTTCCTTCACCTCCTTCAGAGACTACAAGAACAGAATAAACAGGTTAAATTAACAAATAATAAT